GCCACAAGGGAGCACAGGCACATCCTCTCACATGGAAATTTCATTAAAAGTTAAAATTTAGGGGCTGGGCACTGTGCTTACGCCTGTAATCCCAGCCCTTTGGGAGGCGGAGGCAGGTGGATCAAGAGGTCAAGAGATCGAGACCATCCTGGCCAACATGGAGAAACCCCATCTCTACTAAAAATATAAAAATTAGCCAGGCGTGGTGGAATGTGCCTGTAATCCAGCTTCTGGGGAGGTTGAGGCAGGAAAATTGCTTGAACCTGGGAGGCAGAAGTTGCAGTGAGCCGCACCATTGCACTCCAGCCTGGGCGAAGAAGTAAGACCCTGTCTCAAAAAAAAAAAAAAAGTTAAAAGTTAAAACATGCCATGAGAAAACAGAGGGTGATGATGGAGATGGGTCTAGCAATGTGGGGACCCGAGCAGGCCACCAGCACACCTGGGCTGTGAAGGACACTCTCTTTTCATGGCTCAGAAACAAAATCAAGAGGCAATAAATTTACCCACAGTGGACGCTACTTGTCAGAAGCCCAGAGCACGGAGAGTTGGCATCTGGGTGAAAAACGGCAGCGCAAAGCAGGAACTGCCACATGAGGGAGGCACATGCAGGGCTCAGAGCGGCCCCTGCAAGGCTGCAGGTGATTCAGAAGCTGAAGACGCAGCGCGCTGTGCACTACGGCTGTCAGTCTCAGGAGGGCCTTGGCAGCACAGAGAGGCGAGTCTGGGTTAAAAAAGACACACAGATTTCTGGCCTCACAACAGGAATGTGCTGAAGGCAGTGGGGGATGTTGTCACAACCCAGACTCCAGCAAAGTAGAAGAAACTGAAGATGTGTCAAGAGGAACAACTACTCCTGGTCCCAGGGTGACACGTGGTGACGAGCTGGGGAGGGAAGATGCTGGAATTAATGCACACGAATTTTGGAGTCCAGGATGATGATGGGGGAGGTTGGAGCTGGACAGTGTGCCTGCCAATGGGCCACTCTCCTCACAGGTCCAAGCACATCTCACAGAGAGAGGATTCTGCAGAGAGTGCTGGGTTCTCAAGTTCAAATATAAAATACATGCCCCGTTCTTATTCTCAACTTGACCACCTTAAGTCCTGTTTCAAAGCTTTCACTTCCTACCTCAAGGTAGGAACACTCCATGGGTCATGCCACAGTTCCAAGGCACCCGGGGTGGGAGTGGGTTATCGGCATCCAGGCTACCCGTCTTCCCAGTCTTCCCTGAGCCATCCCGTCCTCAGCCTTGATAACTTCACATGGCTGTCTCTGCAGTGCCACGACTGAAGTGGGGATAGAAAGCTGTCGGAAGTGGCCACCTCCCATCTGCATCGGTGCCCCAGGGGCCGGATGTCCTCTCTGGAAGCAATGCCCTTCCCTCTCCAGAGGCATTGCTTTGGAAGTGGACAGAGCATTTCCTCTTTCTCTCACTGGATACCCAATTCCCATCCGTAAGCCTGGGTTAAATCTTCTCTCCTCACTGCTTGTGCCCCTGAATATTCTATTTTCAAGGATCTTCATTCAACTCTAGATTTAGACAGTGGAAGGGAAGGGCCAGGAGGACTCACGCCATGTCTGCACACCCTCCCTGATGCAGTGAGCTCAGGGCCAGCCAGCAGCTTGAAGCGGAGGACAGGGAGGAAAAGTTACAGAGAAAGAAGGTGCATGCTGATGTCTCAAAATCTCTCTCAAGTTGGTTATGTGGCTCCTCCCGAATCCACTTGATCTGGGGAGGGATCGAGGCCTGGATGCCTGGGCCCATACCTCGATTGTAAGTATAAAAAGCCCAGAATCATTTCTTACCCTGTACAAGGACGCACACAGCAGAGAGATCTGCCCGAGCTGGATTGCACGTGCTGCGGGTGCTGCGCCCTGAGCCGAGTGCAGGGCTTCCCCGGGTGCAAGTGCACTGACTCCAGCATGGGATCCCAGGGCAGCAGCAGCGCTCCCAGGGAGCTCAGGAGAGAGGGACCATCTAAACGGACACGATGGAGGCGGCAGCGGGCGTGAGACTGGAAAGGTTGCCGGAGTCAGATACCCTTTCAAGAAATACTGAGTTGGAAAGAGGAAGGGGGAAAGAATGTCCCCTTGAAGATGGAGACAGGGCCCAGAGAAGTTGGTCACCACTTTCTGGTTTCGTTCTTGTTGTTTCACGTTCCCAGGAAGAATGTTTGGAGAATGTTACGGCCCAAGGAGAGGATGGGGGAAGTGAGCAAAGACGCAAAACGCAGAGATGATTGATGGAGAAAGGAAGCAGCTGCTGGGCAGCGCAGGAGAGGATGACCCTGAGACGTTTTGGAGGGCGGCTCTGAGCCATGTCAACGTACTGATGTGTTTCTTCCCACTGAACACTCGAACCTTCTTGTTATCATTGTTGCCATGGCCTGCCCGGCCCAGCAGCCTCGTCACTCCGTCCCCGCAACTCCTAGAGCCAGGCCGAACCTCGGGGGCTGGAGTGCACTGGGCAATGCTTGCCCTGGCGCTGCTGGCAGCAGTCCACATCCAAATGTGGGTTGCTCAGGTTTGTGTAAAGTCGCATCGTGTCGGGTGGAGAGAATGGGATGAAGGGCACCTGCAGGAAAGCGTCTTCCTAGGAGAGGGGCATGGAGAACACAGGAAGAGGGCAGAGTGCGCGGGAGCGGGGTGGGGGTGGGGCAGGAGGCACCTGCAAGGAGGAGGAGGGGAAGGGGGAGGGGAAGGGAGGAGGGAGGAGAGGGGAGAGGGGAAGAGGGGAGGGGAAGGGAGGGGAGGGGAGGGGGAAAGAGGAAGGAGGGGAGGGGAGGCACCTGCCCCAAGGCCTAGTGCAGAGTGCAGAGGGGAGAGGAGGGGAGGGGAGGGGAGTGAGGGAGGGAGGGATGGGAGGGGAGGAGAGGGGAGAGGAGGGGAGGGGAGGGGACAGGAGGCACCTGCCCCGAGGCCTCAGCGGGTGTCAGCGCCAGGCACCCCAGCCTCCCGATGGACCAAGGAGCTCAGTCAGGGCATGAAGAGGTTGGAAATTCTCTGGGAATAATGTGGAAAAGGGGAAATTGAGGTCAGGTCGTCAGCGGGATCAGGCATCAGTGCTGTGGCAGGTGTCTGCAGACAAATCCCGGAACATTTCACCACCTCAGGTCCCTGGGCCAGACCAAGGCCTGCTCCCCTCCCCATCTCTGTAGCCATTTCCTGACCACTGTCAGCGTCAGTAAATATTTTCTCAGGAATCGATACTTTCACCAGGGTTTTCTCAATCATCTTAAATGCCCTTTTCAACTCCAACACATATATGGACTTAAACACGTATTTTACTTATTTAAACATATTTCTTTATATCCTTTGCTGTCCATCTAGTTGATATATGATGTTTGGAAAGATACTTGCATTGAGAACACAAGAATGTACAAGAATGAAATTGCCTGCGGGTTCATTATTGCCGTTGCCTTTTTTCTTTGCTGTTAGGCTATGTTCAGAATAATTTCCACGGCTTTATCATAAAGGAAGGAAACATACCCTGGAATAACATAATATATTTGAAAGGAATGTTTCTAAAGCTAAATAAGGCTGTGGAAATTAAAAAGGAAAAATGATGCTTGCCTCACAATAAGACCGCGGTCTCTCCCCAGGCGGCAGCAGTCCCGCTTCTCCATGAAGCTTTGGGTGTGGCGAGCTGCCCGGGAAGGCTCACATCAGGTACATGGTGGAGTCTGCTTCCCACGTTATCCCAAACGCCTACATCTAAACAATAAAGGCCTTCCTTCCTAGCCCTTGGCTGAGAATTAGGCCCCATGGCAGTCATTGGAAAGACTTAACTAAAACAAAATTTACATAAACAAACGCAGCTCTCAGCAGCCCCGACACAGCTGCTCAGTCCCCACTATGGGCAGCTTCATGAGCTTGGCCTCCAGCAACACACAGAAGAGCTGCGAGAAAATCCGTTTGTGAAACTCAGACACCTGGCACCGAAGAGGAGGAGGAAAATGCGTTTTTGAAAATGCCTGTGAATTTCCGGATACAAAATTTGAAATAGAGACAAAATAATCTACCCGAAACCTCACTCTTTGGTTCAGAGTGTAATCTCTTTCTGTAACCATTTTAACAGCATCCTAATTCACACACCCATTCCCAGGATGCTTTTTCCCTCCAAAACTCTCTGCATACTGCCTGCAGAGTGAGATTTCTAACTCAGCAGAGGTCCAAGCTTGGATGTTGCTGTTATGCTTCAAACTGTGTCCTCTAAAAAGTATGTTTAAGTCTTAACCGCTGTACCTGTGATGGTGACTGCATTTGGAAATAAAGTCTTCGTAGGTGTAATTAGATAAACTGAGATGAGGTCAGACTGGAGTGGATGCTTAACCCAATACGACCAATGTCATTACACGAAGGGAAATTTGGACAGACATACACAGACAACACCATGGGAACGTGAGGGCAGAGAACTGGATGATCCATCTAGAAGCCAAGGGATGCCAAAGATTGCCAGGAAACCACCAGAAGCTAAGCAGAGGCCGGGGCAGATTCTCTTCGCAGCTCTCGGAGGGAACCAGCCCTTGCAACACCTTGATATGAGACATCCAGCGTCCAGAACTGCACGGCGATAAATGTCTGTAGCTTTAAGCCACCCGGATTGTGATCACCTGTCACAGCAGCTCAAGGAAACTCACACAGCCCTGGATTGATGTGGCTAGAACACCCTGGAGTCTGGGAGGAGTGAGCCATCTTCCTTGGAGACCTGAGATTCAGGAAGAACACGGATGGGGGAAGAGGAAGCAATGCCTCTGAGACGCCCCACATGTGTATGAGAAGCAGAAGCAGAAGCCTCCTTCTAGAAGGAGGAGTTCAGTCAGGGCTTGAAGATTTTGAAATGTTTCTAGAAATAAAAATGTAGAAGACAGTGATTTAGTGTGTGATGGAGGGCACCCCACAAGACAGGAAGAGGTGTGCAGGTTTCTCCAGGACAAAAGCAGGATGGGTAGGGAGGGTCCACCCAGGAGTGCAAAGTGACCTCCATCTGGGCTCAGCAGCCATGGCAGCCAAAACCTCCAGCAGCCGCAGAGCCACAGCTGGCTCTCCTCCAGGCAGGTCCTGATCTCAGCATGAGGAACTCAACACGTGGCAGCATTTGCAGCAGGCAGTGACCAGGAGAAGCAAGATGACCAGGGAGCCCAGGAGAGGAGTCAAATGACAGATGCCACACCTTACCTAACGGATTGTACTGACAGCAGTAAAAAGAGCTAATCCGTATGGTATTCTGTGTGTTGGGTTCTATTTGAAGCAGTTGACGCATATTAACTCATTTAGCTCTCAGTATATAGCATAGTATTATCCTCACTTTACAGTTTAGAAAGTTGGGGTCATTGAAGTTTAAGAATCTATTCAATGTCCCACTGTTGATAATGGCAGAGCTGACGTTTGAACCCAGGCAGCCCAACGCACAAGACTCTGTGCTCTCCTGCAATGCACAAACTCAACATTCTTGCTGAGAGGACTCCTCACCAGACAGTCCTCCTTACTCACCAGATGTGTATGCACCTGTCTCCTGGTCCTCACGAGCTGGCAGAGTAAGACAAATCCCTTGTTTTTTTTTTGTTGTTGTTTGTTTTTTTGAGACAGAGTCTTGCTCTGTTGCCCAGGCTAAAGGGCAGTGCTGTGATCTTGGCTCACTGCAACCTCTGTCTCCCAGATTCAAGCAATTCTCCTACTTCAGCCTCCCAAGTAGCTGGGATTACAGGCATGCACCACCACAAAGCACTAATTGCTTGTATTTTTCGTAGAAATAGGGTTTCACCACGTTGGTCAGGCTGGTGTGGAATGTATACGCCTGCACTGCCCAGACTCCAGGCATATCTTTACCAAATGGTTGATGCTGGAGAAGCATCAAGGACCCTGATCTGAAAGAAATGACAGATGCCACCAATGAGGAGGAAACAGAAATAAAAGAAGACACCAAGGTCCCCAGTCCCAAGCGGAAGTTGGAAGAATCAGTTCTGGAGTTCAGGCCTCCCAGAGGAGCAATCACTCAACCAGTGAAAAAGCTGAAAATCAATGTTTTTAAGATTCACAGGTGTGCCATGTGTGGTTTCACCACTGAAAACCTGCCGCAGTTCCACAGACACATCCCTCATCACTACAAATCGGATGGTTCTTCCTGCCAGTGCCAGGAGTGTGGTCTCTGCTACACGTCTCATGTCTCTCTGTCCAGGCACCTCTTCATCGTGCACAAGTTAAAGGAACCTCAGCCAGTGTCAAGCAGAACCGGCCGGGGAAGGTAACCGGCCGGGGAAGGTAACCCGCCGGGGAAGGTAACCGGCCGGGGAAGGTAACCCGCCGGGGAAGGTAACCCGCCGGGGAAGGTAACCGGCCGGGGAAGGAAACCAACAGGAGAACAAACCCAGCCATGAGGATGAGTCCCCCGATGGCGCTGTGTCAGACAGAAAGTGCAAAGTGTGCGCAAAAACTTTTGAAACTGAAGCTGCCTTAAATACTCACCTGCGGACGCACGGCATGGCCTTCATTAAATCCAAAAGAATAAGTTCAGCTGAGAAATAGCTACGGATGCTCCATCAGGGAAAACCCTGTCCGCATTGGAGTAAAAGACATTTTAGTTACAAAAGTTTGCAGCGTAACAGGGTTAACAGTACCGTCTATGCTGCCGCAATGTACGCTCTTTCAAAGTACCTTCTTCCTTCACCTCGATAAGTTATAGCCTCCGTAAGTATTACAACACTGTCTGAGTTTAAAAGACTTCGTATGCATGTAAATGAATAACATTTTATACTCTGTTTTACATGTTTGTATCAGTATTGAGGGGAAAACGTTCTGAGTTGTTTTGGGTTAGAATTTTCCTTTTTGTGCCGTTTCTTTAAAACAGAGTTCTTAGTAACAGGCAAGTTCCTGAATTCAAATAAACTATTTTGTATGTTTCAAAAAAAGAAGAAAAGAAACCTAACGACAAGGAAAAGAATTCTTGAAAGCAGTGAGAGATAAATCACACTTACATTGTGAAAACAAGCTGAATAATAGCGGATTTCTCATCAGAAACCACAGAGGCTAGAAAAAGTGGCACACTTTTAAGCGCTAAAAGAAAAGAACTGTCAACCTGGATCTTATGTACAACAAAAATATCTTTCAGGAATGAAGAAAATCAAGACAGTCTCAAATTTAAAAAAAAAAAAACTAAAGGAATTTGTTACCAGCAGAACTACCCTAAAAGAATGGTTAAAGGAATTATATAAACAAAATAACAAAAGAAGAAATCTTGAAACATTCAAAAAGAAAGGAAGAACACTGGAAAAGGTTAGAATATAAATAAATATAACACATTTTTCTTCTCCTCTTGAGTTTTATCAAGAGGATTAAAATTAAAATTATAATATTGTCTGATGTTTCTAAATTTATGAAAAGGAAATAGTTAAGACAATTACAAATGAGGAAAGCAAAAGATGATAAACTTTTTACACTTCTCTTGAGTGACATTGGTAAAATGTCAACACTAGGAGCCTGTAATATTATGCGTATATAATGTAATACTTAGAATAATCAATTTAGAAATGCTATACAAGGAGATACACCCAAAAATACTATAGATGAACTGAAATAGAATTATTTTAAAAGTTCAAGTCAATAAGAAGAAGGCATGAAAAAGTAAGCAGATGAAAACAGAGAGGAAAAACAGAAAACAAAATGGAAAACTCAAAGCCTAACATATTAATAACTACCTAAAATTTAAATGGCTAAAATGTACCAGTTAAAAGACAAAGATTGGTAGACTGGGGCTAAAGGGAAACTGATCCAATCTCCTGCTGTCTACAAGAAGCTAAATTTAAATACAATATAGGTTGAAAGTAAAAGAATGAAAAAGATATAACATGCAAATATTAGTCAAAAGAAAGCAGGAGCACCTATATTAGTGTCAGATAATGTAGACCTCAAGAGAAAGAAAATCACCAGAGACAGTGAGAAAGATTACATAATGATAAAAGTGTCAGTCCACCAACGACACAACAATGCTCAATATACATGCACCAGAAACAGAGCTGCAAATATGTGAAGGCTCAACCTATAGAAATGAAGGAAGAAATAGATAAATCCACAATTATAGTTGCCAACTTTAACACCCCTTTCTCTTAATAATTTGTAGAACAACTGACAGGAAAATCAGCAAGGATATAGAAGGACCCAATAACACAACCAACCCACAGGATAGAATCCACTTTTGTAAAACATTCCACCCAATGACAGCAAAATATATATTATTTGAAATGTATGCCCCTGAAATATATGCCAAGTTAGACCACACCTTGTTCCATAAAATAAATTTCAACAGACATTTTAAAAATTGAAATTACAGTGTCTCTGTTATCTCAGAACAATGGAAAGAAATCGAACTGGAAATAAGTAACAGAAGGATAATAGAAAATATATAAAGCTTGGAAGCTAAATAACACATTTATAAATAATACATGAATTGAAGAGAAAGTATCAGGAAATTTTTAAAGTACATGGATGAAAACACAATGTCCTGAATTTGTGAGACACAGCTAAAGCAATGCTGAAAGGGACATTCATAGTAGTAAATGTTTACATTAGAAAATAGAAAGTCTCTAATCGGTGAATCTAAGCTCTCACTTTAGGACTCTGAAGAAGAACACAGTAAACACAAAGCAAGCAGAAGAAAAAGAAGAAGAAACATAAGAGCAAAGACCAATAAAATTCAACAGAAAAATAATGGAAAAACCAATGAACTGGTTCTTGGAAAGGAAAAAGAAGAAGAAACATAAGAGCAAAGACCAATAAAATTAAACAGAAAAATAATAGAAAAATCAATGAACACAAAGCTGGTTCTTGGAAAAGATCAACTAAAATTACCAAACCTCCGACAAACCTAAAAAAGAAAGAGAGAGACAAGACACAACTTACTAATGCCAGCAGTTGAACAGAGACTCTCTCTACAGGCTATGCTGACATCAGAAAGATAACAAAGGGATACTACGAGCAACTCTACACACCTAAATCAGACGACTTCAATGAAATGAGCTAATTTCTAGAAAAAACGTGAACTCCACACCTCACCTGACATGAAATAGATTGTCTGAATACCTTTATACTACAAGGCTACAGTAATCAAAACAGCATGGTTTGATTACTTCACTAAAAGTGAAGGTAACGTTGTCACCTTGATAACAAACACTTACGGAAAGTCCAAGCTAACCTTACACTTACTCATGAAACACTGAATGCATTATTCATAACATCAGGAGTAAGTCAAAGGTCTCTGCTCTCACCAGCGTTATTCAACATAGTGCTGGAAAATCTGGCCAATGCAATGAGGCAATAGAAGGAAATAAAAAGTATACAAATTAAGGATATTGAATTCATAATTAAATGTTCTGAAAAAGAAGATATCTCCAAGCCCTACATGTTTCACTAGAAAATTCTGCCAAATGTTAAAGAATTAGTAGCAATTCTAAATAATGTCTTTCAAAAAATAGACAAGAAAGAAAAAATTTGCAATGATTTTATGAAGTTATTACCCTGATTTTAAAAAACAGACAAATGTTATATTTTTTAAAGTTACAGACCAAAATCCATCATAAATATAGACATTAAAAACTTTAACCAAATATTAGCAAATGGAATTTAACACTATACAAAAAGGGTTATACACCATAATTAAGATGTAATCCAGGGAGCCAAGGCTGGTTTGATCAGTCAAGGCTAGGTACAGTGGCTCATGCCTATAATCCCAGCTCTTTGGTAAACTAAGGCAGGAGGATTCGTTGAGCCCAGGAATTCAAGACGAGTCTGGGCAGCAAAGCAAGACCCTGTTTCTAGAAAAGAAAAAAAAAAAGTCAGTCAATGTAAATAATCATATTATCATGATAAAAAATAAAAATCGCACTTACTCATGAAACACTGAATGCATTATTCATAACATCAGGAGTAAGTCAAAGGTCTCTGCTCTCACCACCATTATTCAACATAGTGCTGGAAAATCTGGCCAATGCAATGAGGCAATAGAAGGAAATAAAAAGTATACAAATCAGACAGCCAGGAATAAAGTGACTCCTATTTGTAGATGGCACGCTTTTCTATGCAGGTAATCCCAAGGACTCTACAAAAAAGCCTCCCAGAATCAGTAAGAGTTTATAAAGGTCATAGAGTACAAGGTCAACAACACTCAGTCAATTGTGTTTCTGTATGATAGTTATGAACATGGAAATTTAAAATATAATACTACTTAGAACCACTTTTAAAATGAAATTCTTATGAGTAAATCTAATAAAACATGTCTAATACCTGTATGTTGACAACTACAAAATGCTAATGAAAGGAATCGAAGATAGAACTAAACGGGGAGATATACTATATTCATGGACTGCAAGACAGTACAGCAAAGATGTCGCTTCTCACCAAACTGACAGTTTCAATGCAATTGCTATCAAAATACCAGCAACATTTTTTGTAATTAGAGATGAGATTATTCAAAAAGTATATGAAAAGGAAAGGACTTAGAATACATTTTAAAAACCATTTTGAAAAAAAAGAGCAAAGAGGGCGAAAGCACTCTACCTAATGGGAAGGCTTACGATATAACTACCACAATCAAAACAGTGTATCTCTTGGCAAAAAAGATGATAGACATTTAGATTTACAGAACCGAATAGAGAGCCCAGAAATAGACCCACACAAATGTGCCTAACTGAGTTTTTGGCAAGAGGGAAAAGCAATTCGATGGAGGAAAGATAGGCTTTTCGATAAAGAGTGTGGGAGCAATTAGACATGCATAGGCAGGAAAATGAACATTGGCCTGAATCTCACACATCATCCAGAAAGTACCTCAAAATGGATCATAGATTTAAATACAAAATGCAAACCATGAAACCTTTAGAAAAATATCGGTGAAAATCTTCAGGATCGAAGCCTAGGCAAAACGTTTTCAGCTGTGACCATCGATGACGTAATCCACAAAAGGAAACGTTGATAAATTGGACATCACAGAATTAAAAACTTTTGCTCTGTGAAATACTTTGTTAAGAGGATAAAAACACAAGGAAAAGATGAGGATAAACTTTGCAAATCAAATATCTGATAAAAAAAAGTAGTATTTAAGATATAAAAGAACTCTCAAATTTCAACAGTAAAAGAAACAATTGAATTCGAAAGTTGAGCAAAAGACAAATTTTACTGAAGTGGATATACAGATGGCAGAAGTAAGCCTGTGAAGAGATATACAACATCATTATTTATTAGGGAAATGCAAGTAACACAATGGGATCACTACCCACCTACCAGAGTGCCTAAAAGGAAGACGAAACAAAACAAAAAATATCGGTGACACCAAATGTTGATGAGGAGGCAGAAAAAAATGGATCCTTCGTACATCACTAATAGGAACATAAAATGATATGGCTTCTCTGAATCTGGAAAGCAGTTTGGTTTCTTATGAAACTAAGCATGCAACTACCATATGATCCAGCAATATCTCTCCAGAGCTTTTACCCTGGAGAAACGGAAACCCATTCTTGTAGGTTAAATTGTGTCCCTCA